CATGCATTTGCCTTTTCTTAAAGATGCTTTTCCTAGAAACTTGGACCTAGCTACCTTAGAGAGAGAGAGAGAGAGAGAGAGAGAGAGAGAGAGAGAGAGCTTATACTCTCTAAAAAGTGCTTTCCTTCAGTCTCCTATAATTTTACCCTGTTCTTTCTCAATCAAACATGTACTTGTAACCACTTCCCATTCCCTAGGTGCTACATGGGATCGGCCTCTCTGATAGTCAGTCTGGAATTAGTGATAAAGGAGGCCCCAGGCTCCCAACTCCCCTTTGTTTCCTGAGTTTTCTTGGGTATATCCCACTGGAAAATACTAGCCCTGTCTCAAGATTCCTTCATACATCTGTCTGTCTCTTGGACATCCCTTGGTTATCTAGATTATACACCATGCAGCCTGACAAGCTTGACAAGAAAAGGAAAAAAAAAAAAAAAAAAAAAAAAAAAAAAAAAAAAAAGACCTAGAAATCCTGGGTCCCAGCAACCCTGAGTAGGAATGCCATGGCCTACGGAAGACTCATCCCTGTGGTATCCTAAAATTCTGCTCTTAGGGGAGTTGGGGGGGGGGACACCATCAGAGGAAAGCTGAGACATGGCCCTCAAAGGCATGGGACGTAGGTAAGGCACCCATTTTGCCCCACTCCAAGGGTGATGCTGATTGTATAGTTTCATCAATGTCCAAGTGTATGTTGCACAAGCAAATATCCTGATCCAATGTTTGATCCATACTTTGCCAACCATATCAACCAAATCCAAGGACCTAGAAGATAACCAGGTAGACATTTTCTGTTTTACTTATTTAGGCAGAGATTTCTCTTGCTGTGCAGTGTAACTTGATGTCTACTGTCTGGCACAATCTTTCAAGGAGATGAAAGGAGCAACTGTTTCAAGACATCCTGGGAGTCCATGCTATGGTGCTGCTGAAGTATTAGCCAGTACATCTCACCCCTAGGATGCAGGTAGAGCTGAAGCTTCCTGAATTCCAGTATTGTGTGTCTTTTCAGGCTTCCCCTCCAACATCAGCAGCTCACCTAGAAGTAGGGAATACCCTCAGCTCTGAAGCCCAGCACAGGCTTCCTGGAGCATCCTAGGATTCTCTGCTGGAGTTGTCACAGCTCCACCTCTCAGCCTCATCACTTGGTACCATCAAGGTTGCTTGATCAGCAACCTCCCAGCACCTGTTGCTTGAAAAGCAGGCAGCCTGAATAATATTTAAATAATTTGGAAAGATTCAGCTGTTCTCCAAGCAAGTGTGGTTTCGGAGTTGTTACAGCTCTTTTTTTTTTTTTTTTAAATTAGAAACAAGATTGTTTTACATGTCAATCCCAGTTCCCTCTCCCTCCCCCCTCCCCTACCACCCCACTAACACCCTAACTATCACATATCCTTTCTGCTCCCCAGGGAGGGTGAGGCTTTCCATGGGGGGGTCATAAGAGTCTATCATATACTTTGGGATAGGGCCTAGGCCCACCCCCCCCCATGTGTCTTGGCTCAGAGATGTTACAGCTCTTTGTTATGGAAGTGAGTGTGGTGGTTGTGGTGATTGAGAATCAAATTCAAGTAAAATATCACTGCTATTCCTGAAAGAGAAATGTTGCCAGAAAATAAACCAAACGCATGAGCATATCATATTACAGAAATAACTTATCAATTTACTCTGAATTATTTAAATGCTGTTCACTTGTAAAGTACATCTTTGGTCGCATGCTGTTGGAGAAGTGGCACTCATTACTCATTTTTTTGTTTTGTTTTGTTGTTATTTTAGAAGGAATTGAATACTATGTGTTACCCCATTATCTGTAGATTTCAAAGTAGTCTTCTGATATGGGATGTCCTTCTGTATGCTGCAAATATGTGTTGCTTTCATTGTTTGATAAATAAATCTGTTTTGACCAATGGCCAGGCAGACTAGAGTTAGGTAGGAATTCCAAACAAGATACAGAGAGAAAGAAAGCCGAGTCAGGGGGACGCCATGCTGGAACATTACCAGCAAGCCACAGCCTTGTGGCAATACACAGATTAATATAAATGGGCTAATTTAAAGAGAGAGCTAGCCAGTAATATGTCTGAGCTACTGGCCAAACAATTATAATTAGTATTAATGCTCAGAGTATTGTTTCATAAGTGGCTGTGGGAACTGGCAGGTGGGACAGAAAGACTTTATCTACAGTCTTCCTTGCTGAAACTGGATTGAGGATGCCAGCAAAACCTACTACCATCAGTAGCTGTGCCTACTTGAAGACAGGGTTTAAACAAGTCCACAAGACCCAAGATAAATGATAAACATGTATTTATTAGGGAAGCACTTACACAAATAATAGCAAATAACCGTCACAGTGTTTCTGCTCCTGAAGATACAAGATACAGTCTCCGCTCTTCCCATGCTCTGACCACAACCTAAGAGAGGGAGACAGCCTCTCCTCTTCCTTATAAGGGGGTCACATCTGCACACCTGAAGCCACTTGGAATATGTTACATTATATCCATTGTGTTGACTACATGGAGCAGATCCGGTATTTCAACAAAATAGAATGGGCTAGAAGAGCAATTGTCTTTGGACACAAAGCTCTGGATGATGTCTTTTCATTGGCAATCCAGGGTACTAGAGAAATATTTGACACTGGGCCCACTCCAGATATTGGATAACTGTCAGTCTTACTTAGAGGTATCTGTAAGAGAGGTTAAGTGATACATCCATACTCCAAGGCCATATGGAGAGAACTTTGTTTCTCCTGGCTCTGTGATTTTCTGTAGAAGGTTCAGAGAAGAAACAGGTTTATGCAAAGCATTGAGATTTGGTTTCTGTCATTCCTGTTCTACAGCAGGTGTCTCTCAGCTTCTAACTGTTCCCTACTTAGGTGCTGTAGGAGGCAGGAACTTTGAAGCATCTCCATCCCAGACATCTCTGGGGGGGGGGGTTCAACCTAAAAGTCAGCAGCATTTTGGTACTGTTTTCTCTGAAAAACGCCACGCATTCGCTGTTCCTGGCAAGGACAGTATATTCGATCAAGGCCAGTAGAGCTAACTACTGACCCAGGTGAGCATGGCTGCTGGAAGAGGGATGACCTGTGCTTCCCTGCACATAACACTGTACCTTGTTAGCTCTGTACAAGCTCGGGTCCTCCCCTTTCCGGCAGCCACACTCACCCTAGTCAGAGGTTAAAGGAAGTTTGCGGATGTCACAATAACTGAAAAATAAACTTCATATTTCATCTTAGTAAAACAGACACTCGTGTCTCAAGTTTGTCTTTTATTTGAAACTCAAAACAAATTACAGTAAACTGGATATACTTCACTAGCGACTTACCTGTTTTTGCTCCCACACCCATCTTCCTGAGAAGTCAGGGTCACTGTATAACTGTTACGTCTTCACTTCACACTACCAGGTTCCGCACTTGTCTCCATCTCTCCCCTTGGTATAATGGACTCGAATTTTCCACACTGCTAGGAGAGAGAGCAAACCCCCAAAATTTACAGTTTCTGAACACCTTGGGGAAAGGGCTATTTTCAAAAAGTTGGTTTGCAAAAACAAATAGCAAGCAACAGCAGCTATCTCTTGCATTTTTTATTTTCAGGGACTGCCCTAAGGGAACCGTCAATAAAATGGTCTCCTATTCTGTATTGTTAATAAATGTTAGTATTTTCTCCCAACGAATCCAGGCCTGAGCACACTGGAGCCTGAAAACTTTCAAGATCTCTGCAAGTCCAGGCACAAAGCAGCCGGGCCTTCAGGAAACAATTTCCCAGGGAGCTGTGCAGGTTATTGGATACAGGCACACGTTCAGGGCCTACTTCAAGGGCTTTAAAACTGTAGAAGAATCGGGCCGATTCACCAAATCTGGCCCTGACACAATCACTGTAGCGTCCCACTTAGGAACTTTCTTCACGGTCTTTCCGAGAGCCAGATCCAGCGGATATTCAGTTTAGAAACCTAAAAGGGGCGGTGCCTCTCCTTTGACTCTAGCAAAAAGGACAGCAGAAACCCAAACACTTTCAAAGGACTGAGCTGGCGACTTCTGACAATAGTCCACCGACCGCCTTCCGCAGGCAACCTTAGGTTCCCCCAGACTCGGAGCAGAATGCTGGGAGGCCCGGTGCTGCCTCAGCTTCCCGCAGGGTGGCA